TGAAAATAAAAAATAATGGAATGAAAACATCATTTCTGAAAAGGACTAAATTGAAAGCCCAAAGCCACTCTGGCTTCAAGTCTTTTTTTTTTTCAATATAAAAAACAGAATATAAAAAAAAACTGCCCACCATTGGGATGGAAATGAGAAATATTCTTTGTATTGCTTATTAAACCTTCTACTTATTAGAAGTAGTACCATTTATATAAATAATATAGACTAGCTTTTCTTTTCTGAAGTATTATAGTTGATATTCAGAGGACCAGATTAAAAATAATTTTGCCCCTTTCTTCCCCTTGCGATGACCAGGGGCCACGTGCAGAGCTGGTCATGGTGCTCACACACTTGGTCGTGGTGCTGTCTGGACGTCATACCCGTTTATAGTGATGCTTGCTGGAGATTTTCCTCCTTTCGTGGTAGTGCTTGTGTACATTCTAGCTGTAGTGCTTATGGGGCTCACATTCCTGGCTGTGGTGCTCATCTTTAGTGTCAGTGATCAACAGAGGTTGCACAGATTTTTGATACAGTGTTTGTGTCCACCTGACTTTGCCACAGAGAAGCGTACAGTATTGTGTTGCCAGGAGTTCCAGAGAGCAGAACTGTAGGGACCAAACTTGGTGCATGTGGATGGCACCTCCTGGGATGGAATGTGCCCAGGGCTGTTCTTGTAAGATGGCTGTTTACCACTGGGTCATCCCAGGATCTCCAGAGGCTCAGATTCTAATGATAATTTTTCATCTGACTCCTGACTGTTAAATTAACTTTCTTGGAATTCATCTATGGTATAACTTGATAATACAGATTCTAACCTCAAAGTATTGTGAGGAAAAAAGATACTGTAAGCCTAACACTCAGAAAGGTTAGTTGATCCTTAGTCTTGAATACAGACACTTCTAGTAATTTTTTTCATGCTAACAAAGGGCAGAAAGGAAATCAGTGCATTATAAGGTTCAGAGTAGATAAGTATGCATTATTCTAAAATGACATCTATTTTAGTCTTAAAACAATGCAAATCACACCCAAAACTTGCTTGCAATTTTAATGCTCAGATTCACTTACATGTCAATTAAACCTAAGTTACCTCAGTCATTTTTATACTAAAATATAAGCTTTTTATTAAAAATGAAATACATAATTTCTTTGGCTACTTGGTTTTTGCTTGAGTTTTCTCTCTGTTGATTCTTTGATAGGAAGCTATGTGTCATTTGAGATCATACATATTTATATTTTTATCTAATATGTGCACATTTAAATATAAGCTCTTTCTATACTCTGCATTCAAATCTCTTTTTATTCTATAAGAGAAACAGTTTGAAAAAAACTTTTGAATTGGTACATGTGTGCTAAAGAATAACAATGATTTTTTAACAGTATACAGAATGCAATTAATTTTTTATAGAAGACAATATGTGCCTGCCAAGAGGCTACTTTGAAAATGAAATGTTTTTGATTGTGTGAAACTGCTTAAAAATGTGATTCTCCTAAGCTATCTTTTTGCTATGGCCAGTAAAAAGTGACATGAAAATTAATTATGATTATGTACTGAAGGCAGTTTCTTCTTTAAAAAACCTCAAGCTTAATAATAGAATGTTTCTTTGTAACAAAAGCAGTTTTAAGACATTTATATGCCCTGGATTTCCAGTGGAAAGGCCTTGCTAGTGGCTTGAAGTGAAATGAATAACTACCTGTGAAAGAAATAACACATTCTAAGGTACCCTTGTTGCTTCGTCTTTTAGGTTCAAGGTGACACTGTCTATTCCAACCCCCTGTTATAATTGAGTAAGATTGCTGTATGATGAGTTTATGTAATAGGCTAAATATCCAAATAGAAATCACCCATGTATACTGACAAGATTTTATTGAATGCTAAGGGGAAAATATCCAGAACAGAATATCATTAGGGACCTGTGGTGATATGCTTACCTAGTTTGCTAAAATGCCATACACAAATTTTTGATTCCCAGGAATAGTCTGGTTGGTAATCTATACTGGCTTTTATCCTTGTCTTTTTTTTTTAAATTAAGTGATGTATTTTTGAAAAGATTGATTAAATAATGAGGTTTTCAAAATCAAGTTTATTTGATTGTGTACGTGAGGATTTCGAGGAAAGTTCAAGTATGATCCTTATTTAAGTAACAAATATGCTAAGTTAGTGATTTGCTTGCGATTTGATTATTTGGAGCAGTAGTTTAGAGAAAGTAAAGGTTTTCTAAACCAACTCTCTATCTACTTCAATTTATATGTTCTGCTTCAAATTGCACATATAATTTGAAGTATTCCCACAGGGACAGCTTTCCTATTAAGATAACTGCTTTATTTTTAATGGTGCTTCACAAACTAGCTTGCTTCATAATTACTGCTATTGTAGTTAAAACCCACATTGCTAAGTCCATATCTAGTGTTTTGATAAAGTGTATCTCAGCTAAGTTCTAGGAATTTGCATTTCTCTTAAATATTTTGGTGCTGTTAATGCTATTGGTCTGAACTCTACACTTTGGGAATCACTGATTTAGAACTTGAGGAAACGTTTGTCTTTGGTTCAAGGTGTCGACAGTAGGGAATATACTAGGGAGTCAGTGGGAAAAGATCACAGAGCGCTGACATCAGTCTAAGGGTTACCAGAATAGTTGAATTCTGAATCCATCTAGTGCACTGCAAAGTTAGGCATCAGTGAAACTGTAAATATTAAGCAGTTATTAATGAGAATTAGATAAGGTTAGGAGGTCAGTAGATTTGTTTTTTCTAACATAAACTTTATCTCCCCTTCCCGGTTCTTATACCTTCCTTGTATCTGTGCTTTTCTCTTGCACCATATTGTATATCTACATATTGCTTTACTCTAACCATCTTTTAGAAACCGGAAATATGTTGAAATAGTATGTGAGGTTTCTTGGATATTTTGTGGGCATCAATTGAGTTTACTATTATAATTAAAACCTTAGTCATTTTTCTTCTGATTACTCAGTCAGACTAATACTTAAGTTGCATTATGCTTGTAAGGTTAGGATATTGACTAGAAAATTTAAATTATTTAATGGAAAGCTGTTTTAAAATTATTTCAGTGCTTCAATTCATTTGATAGTTTAAAAAAGTTTTATTAATTCATTTGTATAAATTTCTCTAACTTATAATTAGGACTTCTAAAGCTTCACTTGCTTTAGAAATTTACAATTCTATTTATTATTAGGAAATTTTTACCTCACTAGTCCTAATAACTGGATTTATTTTTAAAGTAAATTTTTGTACCTATTCATTTTTCCCGATTAGTTTCAAACCCAGCAATATTTGGGGGCATTCATGTTTTCTTAATCTTTTGTACTGAGTGTATACTAGAAACGTGATGTGCAATTCAAGGAGGAAAATAGGGTCTTCAAATAGCTTCTTTTAATTTTGCTCACAAAGCAATTTTTCAGATGTTACTCTTCTTTTAAAAATGTCCTGCACTCAGTGTATTTTTCTAGAATAAAATGTCTACCAAGTAAAAGGGTTTGAGATTTAAGTCATGCTTACTCAATTGAATGCAGCAGAGTGGAAAGTAATGGTGTTTTGCCACCTCAAGAAACTTATGATTTTCATGATTTAATATTTAAAGACAATTATTCTTCAAAGACCTGCTGTTATATTATATACTCATTAAAATATTGGGCATAGATTTTAGGGTTTGTAATAGTAACATTATGTGTTGAGTTTTTATCTGAAGGAACAAAAGACTATAATCTAGAAAATTTTTTAGAAGTCAATATCAAGTGCTATTTTAACTCTGGTGCTTGTTTTTCAACCCTTGTCCTCTTGGTGTGAAGACCAGTGTTATTCAGATCACTGAGGATTAATGCTGAATGTTTTACTTAGCACTCTGGTAGTGTTGGGTCAAACACCCTGATTCTTTAAAGTTACTTTTTTGCCTAGTAAACCTGGGAATTTCAGGTCAAACTGCATCATGAAAATTCAGTGTTCTGTTCATTAGCATAGGCGTTTGAAAATGGTTTGTCATTCTTCTAGATGTACTTTCTAATGGTATCTTAAGCCTTTATCTGGACTGCCAACACATTTTATCTTCAGCAGCTACATCACCAGATAATTTCCATCACATGAGTATTCCTATTCAAATCCCATCCCTTGTCTCAAATAAAGTGTCATGTTCAGGGTTAAAAAGAGATATACCTATTTTAGTTTAAGTAATGGGCATGTCGACAGTAATGAAACATGTGATAGCACAATTTTGGATTAAAAAAAGAGGGATTCTGGATCAAATGACTCTGAGAGGAAAGTATTCTTTTGTGAAGAAAATAGTTTTTATTGAAATTTATGTAGAAAGATGTGAGGGGTGGTTCTGCTTTGGAGTAGGGTTGGGGGTGGAAACATTCGATATATAGTGGTGGGAAGGTGTAATGATGGTGAGATTGTGTTCAAATATTAAATGTAATAAATGATTGTGAACAAACCCTCTCTTGAAGAGCAAGTGTAGAGGAAAATATTCTTGCTCAGAGTGTTAAACAAAAGAGAGAAGGCCTCTTTAGGTTGATCAGATGCTCTAGTCAGTATTCTCCAGAACTGGGAAAGAGGATATATGTCTATATGGGGGCTGGTGAGGGGGAGAATGCAGGTCTACTACCAGCAGGAAAGAGGCCATCTCTGTAGGGGACGGGGAGGACAGTCACCAGGTCCATCAGAGTCTATATAGAAGGTTGAATCAAAGTAGCAAACCAAGCCAGAAATCAATTTATTTTTATGCTTATTTGTTTTAGATGTTTCTTTTCAAGTTTAACTTATCTTGAAATAGAAGCAGAAAATAAGATTTATGCTAAGGTTTTGGCATTTAACATACTTTCCATTTAACCCTGTTATTTGCTCCAGCCTGAACTCTGGAATACTCAGGGAATCCTAATGTTAAGGCATCATCACCATTGCCATCCTCATCTACTAGTGTTCCTGGAGTATAACACCAAACTCTTTGTGATTTTGAAACTGCATTTTAATTTGGGTTTACTTTTATTTCCCAGGTAGTCCAGCCATGGCTCATAGGAATCTGACTTCTTCCAGCCTGAATGATATTTCTGATAAACCGGAAAAGGATCAGGTAAGCTAAACATTCTTGCTTCGTTGACATGGAAGAACAAATGTCTATCTAGAATCTGCAAGGAAAAAAATAAAAAATAATGGTGCCCCTAACTTAAACTGAGTGTGACGGTCTTCTACTTTTTTGAGGAAAAGTATGGGTGGGCTTAAGTTCAAGAGATAAGAGTGAGAGTCTTGACTCCAATTCGTTTTATTGTTTTATTTTGGGGTCACACGTGGCAGTGTTCAGAGCTTACTTCTGGCTTGGCACCCATGCTGTCTTTGGGGTGCTAGGCATCAAACTTAGGTTGTCTACATGCAATATAACCTGCTGTACTATTGCCCTGGCCTGTTGACTCCAATTCTTTCAGATTATTCACTTGGGAAGTTTAGATCTTTGAGCTGCAAGATAGAGTCTCAAATTCAAAATCATATGACTAACTCCTACCTCAAGTTTATTGTGATGATTAAATGAGAGAACTTATGAAGAAAAGTACTTGGGTAAAACCAAGGAATTAGCCCTGCTGGCAATTGTTAAGCTTGGGAGTATACTTCAAGAAGACAATGAGTCTTGTATCTCAGAGATTTGTTGATTTAAATATATAGTGGGACTGAGGATAAGGTATAGCTATTGAGCACTTAACTTCCTTGTATAATACCCAGGTTTGATCCTCAGCACCACCAAAAAAAATATTGTGATAAAAATAATAAGTAGCCCGTATGAAATGAAGAACCATTAGATTTTGAACTTGTTTCCCATCCTTTAAAATGAATAGGACAAAAAATAAAATAAAATAAAATAAAATAAAATGAATAGGACAGAAATCGTATTTTCTCCCACTTGGGCTGGATGTCTGTGCTTGAACTAATTGGGTAGATATTGTAGGAAACAATAGGAACTGGCAAATAGATATACTTTTGGACTTTATTCTAAAAATAAAGCCAGTTATTTGGGGCTAACTGAGTGAAAATCCTATCTGAAAGAGTATAGAAATCTGATCTGTTCTGATGCCAATAGAAACTCATTTGTGATGAGATCTCATTCTTTCTTCTCTTCACCAGTAGCAACTTCATAGGGTCTCCATCATCTCAGATCCTGATTTCTAGAAAAGCCTTTAGAACTAAGTCCGGTCTCCTCTTTCCCTCTCAGTAAACACAGTCAAAATTATTATTTTGTCTCATTTTTATTTTTGCCTGATTCCTATTGGATCGATGTTTAAAATGACTTCTTAATCCCTGAAGTTCGGAATTCTCTGTCTAACATATGGTTCTCTGAAGCCTGATGTTTCCCTCTCACCTTAACACCCAAAAGGAGAGAGAGAACACAGGGGATTGCCCTGCCACAGAGGCAGGGGGGGATGGGGGGATGGGGGTGGGGGGGATATTATCCATGGTGGTGGAAAATGGGCATTGGTGGAGGGATGGGTATCTGATCATTGTATAATTGAAACCTATGCACAAAAAATTGTAAATCTACAACTGTACCTCATGGTGTTTCACTAATAAAAAAAAGATCAAAAAAAAAAAAAAAAGATTTCCTCTCTCCTTTTCTCAGCTTCAGTTACCTCCACCCTTGCAGTACCATTAATTTAGACTCCTTCATCTGCTCTCCCTTCATATTCAAAAAAGGACAGTTCTCCTTCCTCTCTCCAATTTGCCTACTTCTTAAAATGACTAAGGAGAGGTCCATTTAAATATTAGATACATTGATAGCACCTAGCAGTCTCCTAGATTTAAAAAATTTTCCTCAATGCACTATTTGGCACATTTGGCATTATTTGTATTTACCAGACAACAGCCTGATTATGAGTTTGCTGTTGGTGTTGGGATCTGCTATTAGTTAAGGCAGAGTTAGGATTATTGGGTTTACAGAATTTTTGAGGAAAAACTTCTTTTGTTAGGTCCAGTTCTTATCTTGCTAGTAATCTACCAGTTAGCAGTTGGGATAAACGTAAGATTTGACTTTTGTGGATGTCTTTATGTCTGAGCATATGCAGGAGAAATTTGATGGTTTAAGATGTGTATCATATGAAATCTTTAATGCAGTGTTAGAAGAAATACGGTGGAGCATTACAGCTGTGGACTGTTGATTTTATCATAAATTCTGTATGGTTGCAATTCTAAAAAGCCATAATCTTTTATGTCTGTCACAAACATCTCATTCATCAAGGTTTATGTTGTGATGAAACTCTAGAGATTTAATTCAAGGAGATTTTTCTTTTCATTTTCAAAAGTATGAAGTGAAGGTTGCTGAGTAGATCTTTATAAGAGCAATTCACCATCTGATTGGAACTAGTTCAGTAAGTGATAGTTATTCTAATGAATGTTTCATACTCCAAAGAGTACAAAGCAAAGAAACTGTACTTTGCTTCTCGCCAAAGCGTTTAAGAGAAGCTTTGTAACTAACCCATGGTGTTTTCTTATTTCTACCAGAGATATAGTATAGTAAAGTACAAATTATAACCAAGCATTTTGAGTGTCTGTATCTACTGTTTTAGTAAATTCAAATACAAAAGTTCTTAGATTAGTTTGGGGTAAGAAGATAGGCTTGCAAAGAAGATGAAGCTTTAGTAAAAATCAGAATAAATCCAGGCTTTTTTTTTTTTAATGGTTGCCAGGCTCAACTTTGTTTTAAAAAAGACTTTTTATAATTAAGTGGTCAATGTCCTGGAAGTGATCTTGGCACTGAAGTCAAACTTGTTTTCTATGCTTTTCTAAGTTTCCCCCTTCAAACTCCCAACCAACTGGGAGTGAAGTTTCTGATTGACTGATTATCCTGCCTGAATACTATTTGAACAGTTGTCATGGTGCCTCCCGACTTCCTGGAACTGTATAAATTCCCAGCAACCTAAGAAATGCGCTAAATGTTTAGAGTTATGAAAAGGAGCAGAATCTCTCTTTCTGACAGCTACATAGTCACCAAACTTTGAGGGCATATTATTTTTTTTTACTGAGATTCTGTTTTGGGAAAATCAAAGAAACAAATCCATGGACTGCACTTTTCCTCTTTGGTCCAAGCCTATGTACTTATGATTTCAGTAGTGGCTGCCTTTTTGAGAAATTGCTCAAAATAGTTAACAATAGAAGACGAGCATAGCCAAAGTTTAGGTGATTCAGTGCTTCAACAATATTCCAGTTTGGATGTTAAATTTATTAAGCAGAAAAACACCTGGGGAGACGTGTGTTAAAAATACATCTGGAGGTCATCTCATAAATTCACATAAATAATCTTTTCTATTTTGTTGCTATGGAGGATTTGTATTTCATTATCAAGTTATGGTCCCCAATTACCTTAAATGGATTTGGTTTTATATCAACTTTTGCTTTTATATTCCCTTTTCATTCTTTTAGAAAATTTCACAAATGAAATCGTGTGTGTTTGTCATATGCAGTGGTTTTTATTCCAGTTTCCATGCAAGTATGGAACCGATATCAGGATAATAAAGCCCTCATTGCAGCACTATTCACAGTATCCCAATGTGAAAAGGACCCAAGTGTCCAAAAATAAATGATTGAATAAAGGAATTATGGTGTAGATGAATAATGGAATCTACTCAGCTATAATAAGAACCTAAATCATGCAATTTGCTACTACCTAGGTGGATCTGGACATTATCATACTGAGTGAAGATAGGACAGTGACAGATAACAGAATGATCTCTCATATGTGGGATATATAGAAATGTCACTGTCCTGTCATTGCCTTCCTGTTGTTCATCGATTAGCTCGAGCGGGCCCAGTAACATCTCCATTGTGACACTTGTTACTGTGGTTGGCATATCGAATATGTCACGGGTAGCTTGCCAGGCTTTGCCGTGCAGACGAGATACTCTCGGTAGCTTGCCGGACTCTCTGAGAGGGGTGGAGGAATCGAACCTGGCTCGGCCAGGCTGGCTGTGCGCAAGGCAAATGCTCTACCACTGTGCAATTGCTCCAGCCCTATAGAAATGTAGTAAGGAAATAACAAATGCCCAGTGGCATCAGAAAGTGAGAACTGCTCTTCAGTAAGAAGCTTACCACAGTGGTAGGGTAGGATCATCAGTGTGGAAGGGCGGAAGGTGTGGTGCTGAATAAAACATTCAGAATAAACATGCAGAAAAACATGCAAAAAAACCATGCAGAAAAACATGCAGAATAAAACATTCAGAATAAAACATGCAGAAAACCCTGCCATTAACAGTATTGTAAATCATGAAGCCCAAAATAAAATTTAAGAAAACCCTTATCATTTTAGTGCTGAGTTTAACACTAATGCAAGTACTGTGCTAAGTTGTACAGTGGCTTTTATGTGTTTAACTTTTTTTAAGATTTGTCAGTATTGCAATAACATCTCACAAATGTATTTCCAAATTTAAGTGAAATTGGACAGTGGATTGCAATGGATATAGTAGATAAAGAAATCCCTTGAGGAGTCTTAGTAACCTTGCAATTTATATAGCTGTCTCTTCCATTATAGTCATTATCTGGCTCAATGGTTATCATTAAACTGGACTTGATGTTGAAACAGACAATTCAGGCTGGTCCTCAAAAAAAAAAGTTATTGATGCCTAACTGATTGTTGTTAAGGTTGAATACCACTAATTTATTAGCTCATCTGAGAAACTGCCCATAGATTTTCTGATAGAGTTTGGATTGAGGTTAATTTCTAAAGTGTATTATAATCACTTTAAGAACTATCTAATACTTATTATATCTTTAAATATACTTGGCTGTCTTGATTTCTATTTTTGAAGTCTTGGTCTATTGCAGAAATAGATCTGAATTTAAATATTTTGTCAGAGACTAAGAGAAGAAACCATTAGAGCCTTATAGCAATTTGAAATTGCTAACAGAATTGAAATTGCTAGCAGAAGTGAAATCTAGAAGGAAACGTTTTGTGATGGAAGAACCCCTTAATGCTTACTTTTCTTACACATGGTAACATAGGAGCTAGTCAGCTAAATTCAGCCAAGAGATTTCTTTTTTTTTTTTTCACAGTTAGAAGATTTCTCTCTTAGGGGTCACTTAAAGCTTTCCTTTGCA